TTCAAAAATAACTTATTTTAAAATCTTTTCCTTCTAGCTATTCGACGACTTTATGAGCAAATGCCTCATCCTAAATGGGTTATTTCAATGGGTTCATGTGCTAATGGTGGTGGTTATTATCATTATTCATATGCAGTAGTATGTGAACAATTATTTAGTTTTATATGTTTTAAAGGAACAAAAAAAAAACACTTGCTTTTTTTTAATAGGTACGTGGTTGTGATCGTATTATTCCAGTTGATATTTATGTACCAGGTTGTCCACCAAGTGCAGAAGCATTGCTCTATGGTATTTTACAATTACAGCGAAAGATTAAACGATATGATACATTGCAAAAATGGTATCGAAAATAAATCAAAAGCATCCAATAAAAATTTTAGTACATTAGTCCTATTTTCCAGTTTTATTGGTCTTCGACATTTTTTTTTTCTGTTGCTTTATTTTTCCTGTTAACCTTATTTTCTTTTTTTTTCATTGTGAAAAACGAGTGTAAATAGAATCATATATATATATATATTTGGTTTTTTAATCTTGCGTAATTACAACACCAATCATAGTTGTCATGTCATGAGTTACATAATTTCAACATGGATCATTTATATTTAGAAAAAAAAAAAAAACAAAATAGATTCAGATCATATTACTAGTTACTATGACTTATTCACCAGAGATTCTTTGTGAACTACAAGAAAATACCGAATCTATTCGTAACATATGTATATTGGCTCATGTAGATCATGGTAAAACAACATTAGCTGATGATTTACTTGCTTCGAATGGAATTATTTCAACACGTTTAGCTGGTAAAGTAAGTAAAAAGAAAAAATTATTTTAGTATCAAAACAAAAGAGGTACATATTAATGTTTTTATAATTATTTTCTATAGTTACGTTTAATGGATAGTCTCGAGGCTGAACAAATTCGAGGTATTACAATGAAATCTAGTGCTGTTTCACTTGTTCATCAAAAAGGTTCTTTAATATATTATTAGTAAATTTTTAAAAGAAAATATTTTTTTTTAAATTTATTTAGATGATCAAAAATATTTAATCAACCTTATTGATACTCCTGGACATGTTGATTTTTCATCAGAAGTTTCGACTGCAGTTCGTCTTTCTGATGGTGCAATTATTCTTATCGATGCTGTCGAAGGAGTTTGTCCGCAGGTACATAAAAATTCATCTAAATAATAAATCAAGAGAATCAACAAGCAAAAATATGTTCAAAATTGTTTCATAGAAGAAAATTTTTTCCGTAATAAATTTCAAGGAGAGACATGTCATAATATTAATACCATTCGGTATTGACAGACTATCATTATCGGGTAGTTACATTGCTAGGTATGGAAAAATTTATGAGTTCAAGATTTTGTCAGTGAATGGTTATTTTGCGAAAATATCATCTTTTCCATAAAGTTTAATCAATGGGTTATGAGATCGAAAAATCCAACTCAGTGATTCATTGTTTGAAATTAGTGGCGTTGATTTTTTCCAGTAAGACATATATTGATTCAGACTTCTTGATCTCAAAATTCTCTGATCAAAAGACGAAATATCGGACTCATAAGTTTTCCCTCGCCTAGTAGTGTAACTAGATGATAACGGTAGCTTCTCTTGCATAATTACTATCAACGATAATCTATCCATATTGATGAATACCAAATGGGCGTTGGTATTGTGATATACCTATGCATGGAAGTCCTTTTAAATAAAGATTTACGCAAAATCTTTCCATTGTATATTGTGAAAAGTGACTGATACATTGAATTCATTGTTTTTTTCTAGACTTTAGCAGCTCTTCGACAAGCATGGCTTGAACATTTACGTATTATTCTTGTTCTTAATAAAATTGATCGTTTAATTGTTGAACTTAAAATGAGTCCAATGGAAGCTTATTTTCATATTCGTAGTATTCTTGAACATTTAAATGCTGTTGTTGCAGAACAATTTGCATCATTATTATTAGAAAAAAGTGTATGTTATAAATAAAAAAGTATATCTTTGATTTATTTCTAGTTATACGTGTGTATGTTTTTTTTTCTTTTCTAGATTGATCAAGTAGTTGTAGAAGAGGTTGATATTAAGATTTTTAATCGAATACATTTTTTTATATTTGTTATATATTTAGGTCAAAAATGAAAATAATAATGATAATGATGATGATGATTGGACACGAAATGAATCTCAAATGTGTTTTTCACCACATTATAATAATGTACTATTTGCTAGTGCATTAGATGGTTGGGCATTTGGGTATGTTGATGATATTTATAGTTTTAATCGAAATACTTTGATCTATTTGTTTTTTGGTCATAAATAGAATTCATCATTTTGCAGATTTATATGCAAAAAAATTATCGATTAAACGTGAAGTATTAATGAAAACATTGTGGGGTGATTTTTATTTTGATAAAAAAAGTAAACGTGTTTATAAAGGTGCACAAGTAAGATAGAAGTTTTTTTTTTTAAATTTTAATCAAATATTTTTAAAAAAAAATCAATTATTATTATTCTTTTTATTTTAAGGGTAAAGGTCAAAAACCAATGTTTGTACAATGTATTCTTGAAAATCTTTGGAGTGTTTATGAAACAATTATAATTCGACGGTTTGTATTTTTAATTTTAATTTTTTTTTCTTTAATTAAATAAAAATTATTATTTTTAGAGATAATGAAAAACTTGAAAAAATTGCTACATCAATTGGTGCCAAATTAACTCCACGAGATATTCGACATACTGATCCATATGTTCCATTACATCTTCTGTTCAATCAATGGTTACCTATTGCTCCAGCTGTATTTGGTTAGTTAATGTTCAACGAAAATAAAAATAAAATTGACTTTATTTATTTTATTTTTTCTAATAGATATGGTTGTTGTTCAACTTCCACATCCAAAAGCATTAAATATTGAAAAAATTGAACAATTAATGTGTAATAAAAGTCGTCGATTTGATACATTATTACCAGAAACACAACAATTAAAACAAGGTAAAAGTTTTATATTGAATATTGTTAATATTCAATATGAATTTTTTCTTTCAAGCATTTATTAATTGTTCAAGTGATGATCATGAACCAGTAATAATTTATGTATCAAAATTATTTTCTGTAAATCAAAATGCTTTATCACAAAATAAATATAAGTTAGATGAACTTGTTTTCTTTTCTTTTCTTTTTTTTATAAATGAAATATTTTTCTCTATAGACCATTAACTGCTGAAGATATAGCACAACGGCGTGAACTTCTTAGACAAAAACAACTTGATAAAACGACAATAAATGAAGAATCATCAAATAAAGAAATTATAGAAAAAGATCAAACTAAAACAGAAAATGGCACTATGAATCCAGTAGAAACAGAATCAAATGAAAATATGTTTCTTGCTTTTGCACGTGTCTATAGTGGACGATTAAAACGAGGACAAAAAATTTTTATTCTTAGTCCTCGTCATGATCCAACATTATTTGTTGGAAAGGTAAAATTGATTAT